GGCGGAGGGGCAGAGGTCGGCTTGGCGGGGAAGAAGGGCCGCGGCGAGCAAAGCCCACTCGTGTCCGTTCTGCCCCTCGCGGCCGGGCGCCCACGGTGCCCCCCGTGTTGCTCCCAGGACCTGGTGCCCCTCCATGGGTGCCCACCTGTGCCCTCTTGGCTTGGGCACCCAGCTGTGTCCTTCCCTGACACCCAGCTGTGTCATCCTTGATACCGGATATCTATTTGTGCCTTTGGGTGCCCACCCACGTCCCTCTGGGGACTACTAGGCTGTGTGCCTCCCTGCACACCCACCTGGGTCCCTCTGGGGTCCTGGACATGCAGCTGCCTTGTCCCTGAACAGGAGCAGACCCTTTGCCTGGTGTTTTGGGGATTTGTGCATCCCACCTGCTTGAAGCTTTCCTTGCTGGGGCTTGGTCCAGATCATCCAAAGCTACGCCGTGTGCCTTGTGTGTTGGCAAGAAGTTCTCAGTCCGGTATCGATGGGGTTTGGCACTCCCCTCCCCATGAGCGTGTCAGGGGCTCAGCACTAGCTGGGTGGTTCAGGGGTCTCCTCCCAGCCTAACACTGCCTTGTGTTATCGGGGCGGTTTGTTTGCCGCTGTGCTGAGATAAGGGGCAGCGACGTGCCCCTGAACTTTGAGAATGACCGGGATGTTACTCCCTGACTGGGGTGTTTTGTTGCTGGTGATATGATATCTACTCTGGCCACCTCAGTGATCTGGGTGAGAAGGTGCTGGGGTCCCATCACTGCAGCCCCCCCGTGGCACCATCCTGCCTGGGGTTTTAGGACCCGAAGAGCTGTGCTCCTGTGCCGTGGAGCAAGCAGTGGCTGAGTAGCTGAGCGCTTGGCTCCAGAACTTCCATCCAGTGGAGGATGCTGTTTCCTCTGCTCACAGTGAGGTGCGGGACCCCCTCGGGACTGCAGCAGGACACAGACCTCTTCCCAGCTGCTGCACGCCTGCTCACTGCCCTTCCCTTCTCGCTTCCCTTGCAGAGCACTACAAACATCACTGGTTTCCTGAGAAACCGTTCAAAGGCTCTGGGTATCGCTGCATCCGGATCAATCACAAAATGGACCCCATTATCAGCAAGGCAGCTAGCCAGATTGGACTGAGCCTACCGCAGCTCTACCAGCTCCTGCCCAGCGAGCTCACGCTCTGGGTGGACCCCTATGAGGTCTCATACCGCATCGGTGAGGACGGCTCCATCTGTGTCTTATACGAAGCGACTGCAGCGAAGCCTGTGAGCTCCTACGGGATGCTTACCTGCAAGAACCAGATGATGCTCGGTCGCACCAGCCCTTCCAAAAACTACATCATGACTGTCTCCAGCTAAATACTCCTCTTGTCCTTACACTGCCAAGACACAGGCTACTGTATACCTCACCTGAGGATCTATTTTTAAGATGAAGAGCTATTTATATTTTTTAAAAAAATCCAAGAAAATCCAAAATGAAAATATTGGGCACCGCTTTGAACAGAAGCGGTGTTCTAGGTGCCTTTTTTAAAGCTGTTGCAAGCTTATGAGTTTTTATGATGAAGCCGATATCTACCTAATTAGTGTTGGATGGCAATTTTTGGCCTGGCTTGCTCACTTGGGCAGCTTGGAATGGGGAAAGAGCCAGGCTGGAAAGTGTGGCTTGGTGGTGGGACGTGTCTGTCACCTTCTCACCATCCTGGACCCAACAGTATTACTGTAGCACCAAGTATTACAATACTGTTGGAGAAGGGATTGTGTTTCCTTCACCAACTTCACTCCCCAGCTTGTCTCATCTTTCTGGGGCCTGGATATAGTGTTTGGGGGAACCTTGCCTCAGGGCTGTGTGATGTTGGGGACCCTGGGATCCCTCCCCTTTGCTCTTGCACACTTCCCCTGGACCCATTTACTCTGCAGCTCTGCCCCACTCCCAGCACCAAGCAAGGGGGAGTATGGCCTGCCTCCATCATTCCTGTCTGCTCCTGGATGTGGGGATCTTTGCTGTGGAGGAAGGCAGAGATGTGCTGGGGTCAGGCTGTGCAGAGAAGGTCCCCAAGATGAATATTGCAGCTACTGTGGTGACACTGGAGTGCTGTTTGTTCCTGGTGCTCCCCAGTACCTGGCTATCGCCCCCTGCGAAGAGTACTCCAGACCCCGAAACCAGAACTGAACAGCTGTGAATTACAGAGCCTTTCTGCTATGTGTGGCTTAGACATCAGCCCACGACCTGCTCTTGTGGGGCTCCAAGAGCAGAGCCTGGCCTCTTGCTTGCAAAAGTTGCCTAATCCAGTGCTGACGACTTGCCGTGTCACTTCTCCAGAAGAGCTGAAGCAACTTGCCTTTTGCTGTGGAGGTTGGTGTGTGAAAACTCCCTTTGCCCTATCTCTTAATCGCAAGTATTGGGGGTCTCTTCCCCCCCTGTGTGTAGGATATTCAGATGCTTTGGTGTCCTAACATTGCTTTTAAAGTCACAGCACTTCTTCCCTCTCTTCCTCCCCTGGGTGATCAGTGTGTGGCTGTCCCTGGGATCGCTCTCCACCCCTACCTTGGGAAGGGGCATGGTTTGGGTCTGATCTCTTGGTACATATGTTTTGCACAATTAATGCCTGTCTTTTCAAGCAAAACTCCTCTTGGAGTCCCAGTGGTACTTGTATTCAGGGAGACTCTGCCTGAGCGCTCAGGATTTGGCCCTTAAACTGCTCTGGCTAACTACAAATGGGGTGGGAGCTGCAAGTGCTGCTCCAAAAACTTTACCTACCTGTTGGGAAGGAGCCTTTACCAGGATGTTGTATGTCCATTGCCTTTTTACTAGCCAGCTGGTGCTCCTCCAGTGATCCTGGGAGAAGTGATTGAAAAAGCAGGGCATTGACATGGTGGTTTGTAATGAAACCTCCCAGGTCTGTCTCTCAGCACACTCTTACCTTCCTCTTTCCCGACCTGGCAGCTGACTGGCATAACAAGTGTTGTTCTTGGCCAGCCTTTGATGAATCAAGTTCTCAGACGTTTGTGCAATATATTTCCAAATCTTGGGCGCTCTGGGAGAGGAAGGTTATTTGCTCCTAGCTGCCACAGTTCTGGGCTTGTTTTATTGACTATTTTAAAAGTGGAGCACAGCTCCCCAGCTCTGACGACTAATGTGGAAAAGTTCATATTTCAAGCTTCAAATCATGAATTCTAGGACTGGAAAACCAGCCTCAATTCTTAGAACCTTTTAAAATGTTGAGGGGTGAGTTATTTGTCCTTGAATGGTAATAGCAGACTGTGGCTCCAAAGTTGCATCACTTCCCTCTGCACCACTTGAGTTTCTCGTGTCAGCAAAGCAGAAGCTGAAATGAAGCGCTGGGGCTTTTCCCTTGGTGAACTTGTGCAATAGGTGACCTCACCAAGAGGGGAGTACTTGGGAACTTCCAAAAAGCAAATCCCTTTTCAAGGAAAAGGGATCTCAGTGCTTTTTTGGAGTCTTCAACCTGCAATGGGAACTACATCCAGGATGAGCAGTGTTTCCTTAGCTGGATGTGGAGTTTCGTGAAGGCTGGTACTTCCTTGGGTTATAATTTGTCATGATCAAAGCAGTCTCAAGATCTACCCCCCTTTTTACTCTGTTCCTTCCCTCTTCCCAGGAAAGCTTTTCAGGAACAGCAGCCCACACCAAAGGCATTACCCTCTAATTGCTCTTAGCATGTCCCTGCTTCCAGAACCAAAATAGCAAAGTCTCATCCTCGTTATCCCTGTTGTGGAGGAGTCTGGGTGTTACAGGTGTCTGTGTTTTAGCTCCAAAACCAACCAAACCTGGATGTAATCCGTTTCTCTTGTTGCTGGTTACATGTAAAAGCTGTGAATCGGTGTGCTCTCTTGCCTTCTGCCTACGAGCCTGATGCTCCCCTGCGGAGCTGAACGGTGTGTTTTAAGACAGTGTCTGTGAGGGGTTTTCTGTCATTTTTTTTAACAAGCTGGACTGTTGAACGGGACCTGCTTTTTGTATTTGGTGAGAATAGTAGGAAGTTTGTAAGCTACACTTGGAGGGGGGAGTGGATGGTTACTAATTGTATAGTCGTGTTTTTATATACAGAATGTACAGATCCTTTGACAGACGTATGCTTTTGTTACTTTAATAAAAATGTAGCAGTATAAAGGAGCCTTGTTTTCTTCCTGGGAACTGTTTCATGCTTGCAGAGATGGTGAGGGTTGGGATTGCAGCCTAAATCCCACACTGGGAATGCCGTGGGCTTGGTTAAAGGGTGGATGGGTGTTAATATCCATGTGTGTTGCAGAGGAGGCTGAGGAAAAAGCTGCTTAGTCACCATGCTGACTAACCCTGACCCTCTAAATCCAAGGAATTAAGGCTGGGAATTGGTGTGATGACTAGTGCAGGGCTGTGGTTGTCCTGCCCTCTCCATGCTGACTACCATGCTGACTACTGCCTTGGGCAGCTGGGGATTTATTCAGCACAGGATTGTAGGAATTCTGTGTCCTGACAGACCAAGAAGGTGTTAGAGTAGGTAACTGCCCAATCCCTTACCCTGCCCTGGGAAGGGCATAAGCAAAGTCCTGGGAAGAAGGGATTAATGGTCAGGGGTGGCACCTGGTTAAGCCTCCCTCCCACCGCTGTCCTTCCAGGGGTGACTGAGCAGGCACAGGGAAGGGTGAGGGCAGGCAGGACTGAGAGGTTCGGGTATGTGGAGGATGCTCTGGGCCTGTCATGATGCAGGCAGCTGGGGTTGATTCACCGGAGATGGAGATCCTGTTGTGGCTGTGTCAAGAGGCTGGTGACTGCTCCCTGATATGGGGTTAATGCCTTCCTGGAGCAGTGATGCCAAGGAGGGAAGGCACAGTCCTGATCCTAAACCCTCCCTGGTGGTGGGGCAAAGCTGCTTCCTCCCCTCCTGCTTTTACCATAACGCACCACCTCCCAGAGGAAAACAATTTGTGGGCTGACTTTGGTGCTCTGTCAAAGCTGCTCCTTTTTGAGCTCATCCCTTCATTAGTTTCCATAAACACACCCAAATTGCTGCTGCTTGTGAAACCGGGAAGGACTGGGCGTCCTGTCCAGCTGCTGATTACCTCAGGAGTCATCCAGGTTCAAAGCCTTGGTGAAGGCAGATGATGGCAGCCTTCCTCCCTCCGGCATGTCTGGACCAGTGTGGTCTGCCTGGTTGGAACTGTCCTCACCACAGCCAACCTGGTCCTGTGTGCTGTGGTCTGTGGCCCGTTTCCAGGCGTGGGTAGTCTTCTGCGCGACCGAGCCAACCTGGTCCTGTGTGCTGTGGTCCGTGGCCCATTTCCAGGCTGGCATAGTCCATGGCCAGCCTGGTCCTGTGTGCTGTGGTCCCTGGCCAGTTTCCAGGCTGGCATAGTCCGTGGCCACCCTGGTCCTGTGTGCTGGGGCCAGCAGGCAGAACCCAGATCATCTAAACCCCGAGTTGCTCACAGCCAAGATAAAAATACAGCTCTTACGCCATGGAGTATTTGGTGAGGAGTCAATGCTACCCACACCGCAACCAGATCCCTCCCCTCTCCTCTCAATAGGTGATTCATCTGCTATTTTTATTTTGCTTGTCATTTTTCGTCTGGTAGGATCGCGATACCTGCTGTACCAGCTGGGTTAGCTTGGGGGTGCATCACTATCTGCCCCCCTCTCACCCCTTCCAGCCCTTTCTAGGCCTTTTGATGCTGAGCCGTAGCTGTTGGCACGTCTTCTCATCGCGAGGTCCCGGAGCACATTGTGGGATCAGCTCAGGGGCACAGGGGGAAGGGAGTGTGGAGGCATGGCACCAGGGACCTGGCATGCCTGGAACAGCTCTGAAAAACACTGAAATAACTAAACCCACATCTCTCTGCTGTTGCCCACCTCCTGCCTGTTGAAATCCCAGTTTCTGCTGAGCCTTTTGCTGTATTTCTGTTGGGAATTTTAGTCAGGCCAGGCAGGGAATTGTCTGCTTCAAGGAGCCTGGGTGAAATGTTGTCCTCTGTCATCAGACTGATGTGTTGCAGAAAGGAACGTTTGCCTGTGTCGTGTCCTGGGTGAGAGCTCAGCCCTTTGCCCGGCAGACCTGCCCACGCTCCTGCCTCTTCCTGGCAGCCCGCAGGAGAGAGGGGCTCTGCCGGCGCAGTGGGCTGCAGGAGCGTCCCTGGGTGTGATACCCACCCAGAAACAAGTTATCCCCTGCAAATCCCTGCTGCAGGGAGGAAGGGCAGCATGGGTGATGCTGGCTGTCAGGGGAAAACGCTCTCCTCACGTCCCAGCAGTCTGGAAGGGCGATTAATGCCTGTTTAGAGTAAAAAGGCATGTGGGCTTTAATGTCCTGTGCCCTGCATGTGTTCTCCTCCTGCTCCCTGTGCAAGGTCTCCCAGCCATGTGT